GTGATAGAGCACCGGCGTATTTAGCCCGAAGGCCGTGGGTTCGAATCCCGCTCCTGACACTTTTTCATTTCAACCAATACCTTACATAAAGATTAATTAATTCAAATAAGTTATTTAGTCAATCGTACCACGAAATATAATGGACAAATTTTATTAATGATATCAACTATTTGAAGTCGTTCGTCAGCATTGGCCTAGTTAAATAAATTGCCTAAAACTTATTAGGCTCCACTCAAAAAGAGAAAAAAAAAACATTATGGAGCTACGATTTTAATTACTGCAAAACGAAATTTATTTATGCACAATAATTAGTCCATTCCCTCTCTCGTCGGTTCATGATAAGAGGGAGGTCCGTCTTGGCCATCGAATCATGAATAATTGTAACTCCTTATGATTATGAGTGGCAGATAACGAGACGACCCTTTCAACTGACGGCCAATATTTCATATAAATGATTTCGACCTCTGACATATATCGCATCGGCTAAAGGACCATTGATTCGGTTGATTGATCCCGTTGCGGCTGATCGTTTGTTATTGTTTTCATTTCCTGACAGCCAAGGAAACAGATTTGCAATGCCTTTCGACAGCACGACCATCTCAAGTTGTTACGTTTATAAATTTTTCCAATTAACTAAACAAGCATTTTATTCTCTGTATTTTGTTCAAGTTTCTTTAGCTAATTTTGTTATTAAAAACAATTTTATATTATGAAAGGAGGCAATTTTGACCCGGGGAAATCACGTCTCTCCGCTAATTTGAGAGGAGGATACAGTCATTTAGCGGACAGTGCGAAGGTGGTTTGAAAAATTGCAAGAGGCGATAAAAAAAACTGCAAAGGACAGCGGAGATCTACGAGACGCTGTAGAATTTCATTTTACAAAAATCACCCGTCGATTCTCAAAGTAAGATAAATGTAAAAATTTAGACCAATCCCACTATCAATATTCCAGTTCGGAAACATGCGGACTGCTACAAGATCGAAGTAATGAACGATTCATCAAAAGAACCGGATAGACCGAGGTCAGCCGGCTTTACCAGAAAAAAGACAGCGATATCAGTGAATGTTTTAAGTACTTTCGAGTCGTAGGTTCGTTCCGTACAGAGTCCAACGAGTCCAAGGTTTTGGAATATTGGAAGAAAGATTTCTTGCAACAAAACGACGCCCGGTCGCACAATTAAATAATTACATATAAAAAAATTCATGACGGTTTCCAACAGACAACCTTTTTGTGAGTAATGATCCTACATCAGAAGATATAAATATTTCGTATTTCATAGCTACAGCTGTAAGCTAGGAACACACCCGATGCAATGCTACCCGACGCCTTGCCACATTGTGTTAGGGTGTGCACATCGATGCGACGTCAAGCGCACGTCACGTACAGTCACACAGCGTGTATCACAAATCGTTATCACAATCGAAACTCCTCTTTTGTTCTTAATGCATTATTTTGAGGAAAACCGTGTAATAAATTGTTAGTTACATTTAATTGTTTTAAATAAATGTGTAGAGATTAGTGACCGTTAGTCCATGATTATTCGGGGATAGTGAGATGCGGTCTGGTATGACGTGTGAGAAAAACATTTTCTTTATCGTGCCAACGTTTCGATCTTTATTGAGATCATCTTCAGGGCCTGGGATTTACAAACATTAATTAAATTTAACAAATACGCGTAGGATTTTGAAATGTTGTTTTAAATAAAGTTATTCCGGTGTTCTGATCAATATTCTAACAAACCAATGAAATTATTTTTTTTACAATAAAAACTAACGAATTTTTGATCTCGTTTAATTTGGTTTATATTAAAATAAGAATGTTTTAATTAATATAACGACAAAATTACATATACATATTTTGAAATAAACTACAAAATATATGAGTGTCCTGTTCTGGCGCTACTCGACGAAAAATGGTGTATTTTTATGAGCAAAACCATGAAATAAATTGTTAGTTAAATTTTATGAGCAAACCCGTGTAATAAATTGTTTGTTAAAATCATTATATCAAAAAATGGTATTACGGTGTTTGATCAATTTTCTAACAAACCATTGAAATTATTTTTTTTACAATAAAAACTAACTAATTTTTGCTCTCGTTTAATTTGGTGTATATTAAAATAAGTATGTTGTAATTAATATAACGACAATAATACATGTAGTTTGAATAAAAATACGAGTGTCCGGTTCTTTTGTCTTAGAATGTACTCGATGCGACCCGACGAAAATCTGGACAGTGGGGATCGCTTAGCCGAGTAGAATAGCGTGGCATAGGATCGGGCAGATGTTGCACGGGGGTAAAGCCAGGAACACACTTATCCGATGCTACGCCATGCGACGCTACCCGATGCTACCCGACGAAAATCCAAACTCCGATTTTCCATAAGGTTCCATTACCCCCGTCCTCATCTACCCGATGCTATGCCACGCTAACCTACCCGACGCTCTGCGATCCCCACTGTCCAGATTTTCGTCGGGTCGCATCGAGTACAGTCGAAGACAAAAGAACCGGACACTCATATTTTTATTCAAACTACATGTATTATTGTCGTTATATTAATTACAACATACTTATTTTAATATAAACCAAATTAACTGTGATTAAAAATTAATTAGTTTTTATTTAAAAAATTAATTTTAATGGTTTGGTAGAAAATTAATCAAAACACCGGAATACGATTTTTTGATATAATGAATTTAACTAACAATTTATTGTACTCGCTTCGGCGGTACATATACTAAAATTGGAACAATTTATTACACGGTTTTGCTCATAAAATTTAATTAACAATTTATTTCATAGTTTTGCTCGTAAAATTACACCATTTTGTAATGTCGGGTAGCATCAGAACAGGACACTCATATTTTTTGTAGTTTATTTCAAACTAAGTACATGTAATTTTGTCGTTATATTAATTACAACATGTTATTTTAATGTAAACCAAATTAAACGAGATCAAAAATGCATAAGTTTTTATAAACATTGTTTAATTATGATGGTTAGGAGTAACTTTATTTAAAACAATTAAGTTTAACAAACAATTTATTAGATGGTTGTGCTCATAAAATTTAACTGATAAACAATTTATTACAAGGTTTTGCATAAGAACAAAAGATGCGTTGCGATTGTGATAGTGATTATTGTGATAAACGCTGTGGACTGTACGCGACGTGTGCTTGCGTCGGATAGATTTGCACACCCCACCAAAACGTGGCAAGGCGTCGGGTAGCATCGGGTAGCGTCGCATGGCGTAAGTGTGTTCCTGGCTTTGTACAACCTTATGGAAAATTGGACTTTGGATTTGCGTCGAGTAGCATCGCATAGCGTTGCATCGGGTGTGTTTCCAGCTGTAAACTTTTTCGACCATCTCTGTACTAGTTGAACAAGCGATTAAAATATTAACAATCATTATTTCTCTAGGTGTAATTTACAGTTATATATTTTTGTTTTATTTGTATTGGAACATTTGACAAATACATTTTTCAGATGATAAGGTTGGCAAGGTTGGCCCAAGATCGAACCCCGGATTGAAGTCTGAGAGTGACATTGTGTTTTTCGGTTAACTATGCCTAATCATAAATAATCGAAAGATACGTCTATCCTTAAAGGTGCCTGATGTTATGAGTGAGGGTGGGGTTGGTGCTTTGTCTTATTTGACGCCTTGATCGACCATTTTCCCACATTACGTCCCACTATATTGAATATATTTGTCCTTTAACGATGAATCATTCCCAATCACTATATACAACCACGCCCGTTAAAATTATATATATTTAAATCAATGAATGAACAGTGATCAGCCTCATCTGCTATTGACGACGTCGGCCTTTTTGAACGTTGATTATTTAAATTTATTATTTAGAAAGCATTTTTGATAAAAATTAACATTGTATTTTAAGAGCCGAATCACTATATTTTTGGTACTAAAAACTAGAAAAAAGAACTAAGAAATAAACGGTGGATGCTGTGTTTCCGTCTAATCATTGGCGGTATGAACCAACTAGACTGTCAAATAGTTCTTAAAATAACCACTTTAAAGGCTGAAACTGTTCTCCCATTTCGAGATAAAATTGTACATAAATGTAATGAAAGTCAGAGGTCTTAAATACAACGGAAAAGTTCCAACGAGTGGACTCAATCAATAATTAAGTGGTAATACCATAAGATCCGTTATAAAATAATTTCCAAATTTTCTTTAGATTATGCAATTATCTTTTTTTAATCTATTCTAGTAGAATTATAAATATCCCTAAAGTCTTCAATAGTGGTCAGAAGTGACCAGTTTCAATTTTATTTTGTTTAAATCTATTATATTTAGTGGTCTAATGACCAAATTACTTTTTTCAATTAATTAATCTTTTTATATAAGGTTTTTATTTGAAATGAGAAAGCTAGTACAGGAGATGGATTCGAACCCACGACCTTCGGCAAATACGCCGCTGCTCTACTACTTGAGCTATCGTGTCTTCGATCCACTCGGACACCAACTTCTTTCTTAACTTACAAACTTTCGAATTTTCCCTCATTTTTGCCATTTTTCAAATGTCGTGTAATCAGGATTCGATCCTGGGCGACATATGAAGTGGCCACGGGGAGATGTTATTGGAGTTACATTTCGTTTTACTTATTAAATCCATTATTTTTAGTGGTCTAATGACCAAATTACTTCTTTCAATTATTACTCAGTTATTTTGTTTATTTTCTTAGAGGGTTTTAACAGGAGGTTTTAAGTCCCTCGGGGTGCCAGAACCAGAACCTTTATGTTGCCGTCTCAACCCACAAACCGTTGCCGCCACCGACGCCCCTCTGTTTCAATGTACGAAAGCACGTTTGCTATCCGTTACCTGGATATGGGGTTTGTACCTGCTACGGACCACGAGTAAGGTGGAAAAATCGAAGAATACGTAAATTAGTAGGTTTTATGTTTTTCGTTTCCCGAAGATCCGTGAATTCTACGTATAAAATCCGTCGAGCTATTTAAAACATAATTCTAACGCACCTCGTCACACGCAGAGCACCTCGGCTTCAGCTGTTCGGCGTAGTGTCTCTCGCAGAAAAGGCAATCGTCGTGAACACAATAAGTGAGGTCAACTAGAAGCTGTTTGCACAGAGAGCATACGAAGCACGCCGGATGCCACAAAACGCTATCACCGAATTTCGGCGCCAAAACGCCCACTTCGTTCGGGTTTACCGGCAATTTACACTCAGGGCAAATCTAAAAAAACTTCCCATTAATATATCTTAAAAATAAAGAAAGTACAGTTTAGATATACTTACGACTCGTGCCGTACACTCCTTGGCATACGCTATATCCAGTGCTATTTCATTTCTCGCAGTGATGAAATCGTCGTAGCTTGTGTGCTGAGTAGGATCGACATGCCTGCAGTACGCCAGAGCGAGATCCTGTTTTGGGAGTTGTATCATAAGTTGCTTCTCCCTGTATTTTTCTCCTGGACTACCGAGCTTGGGCACTTTATCAGAAGGAAGGCATTTGAAGTATTGATCGACCTGAAACACCGTCATCATAAAAGATAAATGTGCGTTTGGCACAACTTGTGCACGATACTACAACGTGCACACAATAATTCATATTACAATGTAATGTTTTTCTTCAAGCGATTTACCACTTAACAGACTATGGTTCGTCGTACGTACCAAATAAAAATCTTTCAACCAATTCAAACAGTCATAAAAAAACAATGTTTTGTGGTTTAATAAACTTATGTAAATAGAATACGTGTTGGGAGCAGATGTGATTGCTGATACACGAATAAACTTTGGAAAACTTCTTTCGTGTTTGCATGATTTACAGATTTGTAGCCTCGGAAGTAGGCAGGATCGTCACGTTAAATCAGTTATAACGAGAAAATCATCTTGAGATCCTTTCTATTCGAGCACAATAGTCATATTTTTATGGAGGCAGTGCAAGCCACCTCACATTTCTATGTATTGCACGTCAAATTTCTCCAGCATTCAGTTCAGCGATGGATCTATCGTGTTACCAACATGGATGATGTTAACTGGTATAAAGATTAAAAAATTTAGTTTGTTCGCTTCTGATCATGTCAGTCCGTCTATCTTCGCTATTTTAGTATTTTATTCTACTTTTTTTCTGCATTTTGCCATGTTTAGTAGTTTGTCTTGAGGTGATGAAAGGCTGAAGAGAGGCTGTCAAACATAAGTAGCAAAAGATAGACGAGCCAGGATAATTAGACCCCCGGCAGGCAATAATAAGAATTAAGAAATTACTTTTCCTTGCCAGACTTGTTATGCCAAGAGAAAGCAGGGTTGGTAAGATACCATATTTCCCAGTTTTCGAACATCGAAAAAGTGGTTCATTTTATGTTAGATCCTAGCCTTTTAAAGATAATCTGAAAAATAAGTCCTTGAAGTGTACATGGTAATTGGCAAAACGTACTAATGGCCACCATTTCATGCCGGATTATTCATGACTCATCAGACTTACAGACCAATACACTTTACCTACAACTTTTGAAACTGTTGAAAAAGTGGAAACTTGGGGAAACAGAAGCGAATCAGTTTCTTTGATGGAAGGAATGTTAAGGTCATTGTGGATAATTAGGATGGAGACATAGAAAGGAGTTTGGGGAATCCTTCTGAGGACTTTACATTGGAAAGCTTAGATACGTTGGATGTTAGATGGCTTGGTGGTACCGCATAGGTCCGCTCCGTACGTGTAAATATAATTTAGTAATGTTTGTACATTGTTAGTTTGTTCTTTACTTCATTTCTGATTTTGGTCCTATGAGACCTACTTCGTAGTTGTCCAAATCGTCTGTTGAGTTCTTGTCGCATGATTTTAGCGTGAGGATTCCGCGTCAGTGTACTGTCTAAGTATAGCCCTAAGTATTTTCTAGTGTCGATATCGGACGTTTATTGTCGACGTATAAAAGTGGGTAAGGCTGTTTGTTCAGCGTGGTGTTGATATAGATGCGTTTAGCCTCGTTCAGCTTCATTTTCCATGTTTTGCACCATTCTTTAATGAGCTCAAGATGTTCCTGGATATTGGAGGTGGTCTGACTAGTATTGGAGTGGGAAAATAAAATAACAGTTTCCGCATAGGTTGTAAGGATGGGATTGGGATGTATCGGCAGATCAGCAGTATAAATTGCGTATAGAATGGGATCAAGAAGGAATCCTTGTGGGACGCCCAGCTTAGATCGTTCTGACTTTGGAAAACTTGTTGCCACATCGCACTCAGAAGGAGCGTTCGGTTAAAGAGGATCATAGGTTCTAAGACTTTAGGATATCTTGCAGCTCCTACTCTGACCAATTTATCTGCTTGTTTTATTTCCTATGACCCTAGACAAAGTCCATTGGTCTAAAACTAACTTAGGCCACGAAGGCAAGCAGGAGGCAACCAAAAAAGGCTCAACCATTACTTTACTTACATAAATAACATATTGACAGACCCCTCTTGGAGAGTGTAAGAGGAGAGTGTCAAAGAAACCTTGCGGCCACCGAAGCCGCTTTTATAGTCTACTAAAACTTAGGATTTTTGAAAAGGTGTTTCCGGAATCAGTCCGTTTCAACTTCTGATTTTATCTATATTGTTGTATGCCCGAGATTAGCTTTCATTAAATTTCATTATATTCGGAGCCTGAATAAGGTTTGCTAGCTTCTTGTATAAAAGTGCCCAGTGTAGGTATGTTCAGCATGTAATGCAGTTGTTGGGGTTATTTCCATTACAGCTGTGAAGTAGATCTGCCAGTCTTTTTATGCTGCCTAATTTTTGGTTGAGCTTTGGTCCACCAGACTGTCATAGGATATTTTAGGTACTATTACTGCCGTGTATACCTAATAAGAAAGTCATCAAATATCACGACATGCCGAAACAAGTCTGACAGACCAAAAACTTAGTAAGGCTAGTACAATGATAATCGGAAATGACACGCCGCAGATCACCGAAACAAATCACGGTTAATATTTTAATTGAATAAATTTTAGCGTAATTTTTTCCCTTTACGCCCGTTAAATTGTCATTTTAATAGAAGATGTTCGTCAGCTTTAATTGGAAATGTCTTGTCATCAATTGAAACGGCAACTGCGCTTACCTTGTAAGGAGGAAGACCAGGCGGCGCCCAAGCTAAACCTTGGCTAATCATTCTATCTCTCGATGTCCATTTGTCCTTTTTTTCGTCGGAACCCAAGCCGAGCCTCTCACGCACGTTCACCCACTCCTCATGATAAACATCGTGCGTCTCCCTCGGGCACTTGCAGCTGTTGCATGTCTTCCTATTGGGAAAAACGTTAATTACTATTAATAATCAGCCATTGTTACGATTCATACGGGGATATGTTATAAAGACGTAAGACTCGCTTAAAGCAATCACACCTGGAAGTCATCTTCCTTGAGTAATCAATAATTATTGCCAAAGCCATCCAAAACGATGTTTTCCTTCTCTAACTATTATTTTGTGATACTTACTAATGCTCTTTAATAAAATGTGTTTTTAGGTTCGATAAAGGCTCGGAGGAATCGAGTTAAATATTAAGTTTCGCTGACGATGATCGAGAACACATGGGTCGAGTAATGAGTCAACCTTCACCATGACGCCATGTACCCGTTCAACAAAGTGGGTCAGTGAAACAAAAAATTTGCATTTACAATTTCATAATTGAATGTTATTTAGTCGATATTGATTAGGTCAAATGTCAATCAAAAAAGAAATTGATTATATGTAAGGTTCTAATGTTTTGTTTTACTCCTTACCAGAATGGAAACCTGATGAGTCACTTTTGGCTTGGGAATACTTGAATGTCTTATCTCCTTTTTAAGAAGAAAAATTTGATGTTCTTCAAGTGTTCGCTTGACTGGGATTTCCACTAAAACGCAAGAACACTCTTGGTGAATCCCGTGGACCGTTTGGCATCGCTGCACCAGTTTGGCGATTGTAATTAAAATGAAAGGGTGAGATAAAATACGCTCTTTATCATCGCGCACGGGGCGTGTTCATCATTATTGACGTGATTACTTATAGTACTCCTTTGTCTGTCTCATATTTACCTTGTAATAACAATGTGATTCAAAAATAAAAGTGCGTTTTTTGTGCTTTTGGCAAATTATTTTTTAACTAAGGACCTACCATGGCAATTTTTCGATTTGTAAGATCTTTCAATTGATAGTATAAAGGATCATTCGTTAAAAATGCGTTAAAATGTAAAACAGTGAGCCTACCACAAACTTTCTTTTAAAAAAACTGCCGGGAACTCTTCTTTGATTGAACTGAGTAAAAATGTTATTGGTGTCACCAATCTGGGTGTTTCTAGACTGTGCTCTATATAGTTTCTTAGGACGAGTGACGTTGGAGTACGTGAGCTATTCGAGTTTCAGACTGAACTGATTCATTTACGATTAAACACGACATGCCTCGCTTTGCTTTTGACAGGGGTGCGATATGGGAGGTCCTGAACCACTGTCCTTATTTGGATGTCCGAATGACTTTAAATCGATTCTACATAAAAGCACAAACACAAATAAAAGGACCCAATGGAATATATAGAACATTTCTAATAATTACAATTAATTAAGGATTTTAGTTGAGATAAAAAAGTCAATGGCACGAGCGGGATTCGAACCCACGATCTTCGGCTAGATACGCCGCTGCTCTACCACTTGAGCTATCGTGACCTCGATCCACTCGGACACTAACTTCCCATCACAACCCCACCTTTTGAATTTTCCCTCCTTTTTGCCATTTTTCAAGAAGATCGTGGTTCGAATCCCGCTCGTGCCATTGACTTTTTTATCTCAACTAGAAACCTTAATTAATTGTAATATATTAATTGGTCAAGCGGACCACGAAATTAGTGAATTTAATTTCTAATAATGTGTAATCTAATATTGATGTTTAGTGACCGTTAGCCAATATTATTTGGAGATCGTGAGATGCGGTCTGGTGTAACATCGGTTTTAGAAAAACATTTTCTTTATCGTGCCAAAATTTCGATCTTTATTGAGATATTCTTCAGGGCTCAGTGTTTGTTTTCTGTGAAGATATGTCATTCTTGTCTGTCGTGTTGACAGACAAGATCTCTCTGCAAAGAACGTCTTCTTGCTAGTTTGGAAAAATTGCACTTCAGTGGACAAGAAAACCAGTCTGTAAACCTTAATTCCTAGTTGCTCATTTCATGAGCATTATTATAAGCAGGGGTCTACTCTCAAGGTTGGCATAAACTGCCCAAAGGGGTGTTCCACTGACTCACAAATATCAGGTATTATTTCACGCTCTACTCTGTGCTCCACTGCTCTGATTTCGAATAGCCATCGACTAAGTTGCAAACCCCATGCTGCACATTGAACCCTCAATAGACCTCATATACCTATAAACAGTTGAACTTCCGCTATCGATTACCCAAAGCATCATCTTTCCTACATACAAGAAGTACAAATAATTACAAACTTCCAGTCTTTGTCTTGGCAGTATGCCTGAAAAAATCAAAACCGTTCCTAAAAGAGATGAATTGAGTGTTTTTTCGCCCGAGTCCTAGGGGTGAAGGATACCTTGTCAGTCTCTATTCTTCAGATAGGGCTATCACCTGTTAAGTTTGAACGAAGTGTACAAATGTACTTTAGGAATAAATTCACTAATTTCGTGGTCCGCTTGACCAATTAACATATTACAATTAATTAAGGTTTATAGTTGAGATAAAAAAGTCAATGGCACGAGCGGGATTCGAACCCACGATCTTCGGCTAGATACGCTGCTGCTCTACCATTTGAGCTACCGTGACCTCAATCCATTCGGACCCTACCTTCTCAACTCAACCCCACCTTTTGAATTTTCCCTCCTTTTTGCCATTTTTCAAATGTCGTGTAATCGGATTGGATTCTCGACGACAAATGAAATGGCCACGGAGAGCTTTAGTGAAGTATACTTCATTTTAAATCATTAAATTCACTAATTTCGTGGTCCGCTTGACCAATTAATATATTACAATTAATTAAGGTTTATAGTTGAGATAAAAAAGTCAATGGCACGAGCGGGATTCGAACACACGATCTTCGGCTAGATACAACAAAAAGGAGGGAAAATTCAAAAGGTGGGGTTGAGATGGGAAGTTAGTGTCCGAGTGGATCGAGGTCACGATAGCTCAAGTGGTAGAGCAGCGGCGTATCTAGCCGAAGATCGTGGGTTCGAATCCCGCTCGTGCCATTGACTTTTTTATCTCAACCATAAACCTTAATTAATTTACGAATAAAGAGGACATGTTTCACTTTCTAGCTGTACGTCCTGTAGTCCTGCATTTCAGGTGAAGCTATTTTGATGACGAGATAATAATGGGCATCCTCTCGCGACAACCTCCCTAATCTCAGATTTGTCCTAAATCACAAATATAATAAGAAATAAGTACGTAATTAACAAGTAAATTTACTTTGTATTCCTCCTCAAAATATAAAATTGTATAACTGTTATTATCTTTCGTTAAGTGAATGTATTTCAATTCAATATACCCAACCATATTGTATACCGTTATACAGGTTAACCCAGTAATTTTATAAATTTTTTTCTTGGTTAGCAATAAACAAATATTATCTTTATCTGTTTGCCAAACTAAGTGATAGGGGTGGGTAATTAATTGGGCGGGTTTTATGCCCTTGGCAAGTTTGAAGGGGAAGCGGATGATAAAAGCCCGGCCTCATCGTTATCAGGAGGGAAACGTAAGAAAATAAAAAAAGGAAGCTTGTTATCTGTGATTTGTTCCTCGGAAAAATGTTTTCATTGAATTTCATCAGGATGTATCATGAAACAATTGTTCAGTCACGCCTATCGCTTAACAACGAGGAATCAACAATGAAATCTATATTGTTATGTTTTATAGAACATAACTATTAACATATATATTTCATTTAAACATCTTACAATTCGAAGTACAGCTTCAAAATGAATTGGTTTCAACTTTAAAGGAAATTTTCATTGTTGTAAAGTCCCAATTTTGCCAAAATACACTTTCCTGCCATAATCAAATCATTAAAACCAAATTTAAAAAAGGAGTACAGATCTATTACGAAGAGTTAATCAAAGATAAACACTAATTTTCAAAAATAATATACACAAAATCGTAATCCATCAATGTCATAGTGTTGCGGCTCATTTCATTGTCTCTTGCTGTGTTGTCCGGTTGTGTAACTTGCTTGTTGACATGTTTGTCACCCGGGCCTTCTGTGGAAGCTGAAGGGCATCCTCCCAGTGCCTAGTACCATATAATCTATCTGTCCTATCCACGCTAGCGTCCCACAAAGGACCATTCTTGAACATCTCGTTTACACGAAATATACTCCTGACATCTTCAAGAAACAATTCTCCCCACTTTTGCCGGCGATACAGCGATCCTTTACCCTGCATAAAGATCCACCGCATTTAGAAACTTTCAAAACCATTTGCAATGTTTTGACATCTGGCCCAGAAAAGTGGGGAATTGAAAGGAATGCGGCGAAGAAAATTAACTTCATACTCAAACGTATTACAGTACCACCTTGTACGATACTTGGGACTTCACCTGGGCAAATAACTTATTGGAATCCACGCCACACTAAAACGAAACGAACTAAACGTTACAAACTGTTACCACCACTACTCGACAGACAATCGAACTTTCAATTTAACTACAAAAGATTAATATACACCATGGATCTTAAGCCCATGTGGATTTATGGTATCGAAGTCTTGGGGTCTGCCATGCCATTCCAACCACCATTCCTTCTCAACACATCCAAAGATTCCAATCAAAAGACCTAAGAAAAATGGTTAACCCTTTTAATGTGACAAACCTCACCCTACACCGAGATCTGTATATTGTTTGTTTGTTCCAGAAGTAGCAAAAACTCATTACAAAAAAATGCAATCAATCCTATTCCACACATCCCAATGCCTTGGTCCGTCAGTTCAGTTCCACTCCCATTCTAGATAATCCGTCGACTTAAACGCCAATGTCCACGTGATGCTTTACGTATTAAAGAAGAAAATAGAAAAATCAGTCATTTATTTCTTGCAAACTCACTACTGAGTTCTCCTCGCATAGTTTTTATTTCAATTTTATTTGTACAGCAGTTTTATCGTTGTAATTGTTTTAGAAATGTAAAAATGAAGAAAAATGACATTATAAGTAAAAGGTTACTTTCAACAAATAAGGTTTCTCTAGAACTTGATACAGTTAAAGCTGCTTTAAACTGGCAAAACCGAACAGAAAAATCATTGTATAATAAATATCTAATTTCAATTATACAAACTATTTGCTATTTAATTATTCAGATATCGTGAGATGCGGTCTGGTGTGATGTAGGTTTCAGAAAAACATTTTCTTAATCGTGCCAACGTTTCGATCTTTATTGAGATCATCTTCAGGGCTCAAAGCGTTTGTCTTCTGTGTAATTGTGCCATTCTTGCGTGTCGTGTTGAGAGTGCCTATTTGCTAGGCTGAACACTAATCTGATATACTTCGCAAGGTTTGATAATTTGCAAATATTGGGGCGACGACATAAAATGTCCATGAACAAATCGACTTATTAATTAATGATTTTATGATTAATTAATGTAATGTTTTATTGAAATATTTACTATATTTTCTCTACATCCAACGACTACGTCTCTCTGGAAGATTTGAGTCCAGGGATGAAATAAATTCTGAAAAGGCTCAGATTAAGTTGCAAACCATCTTCTACAACGTTGGTTAAGCACAGAAAAAAAGTTAGTTTCAGATGACAAATAAAAATAAAAGAGAGGTAGATTGCCAGGATTTTACAGGAAATTTCTCGAAATTTGTTCGCACTGAGGATTGAACAAGAGAACTTTTGTTATCCTTCAAGACATTACTTTTCCTATTCACAGCAGTTTTTGATCGAATTTCGACGTATTTGGACAATTTCATCAGAGTAAGTTGTATAAAAAAAGGGAAACTAAAGTAAAAGAAACTTACTGCCATAAGTGTTGAAAGATATCTAATCATTGACCCTAGTGGATTGTCATGAAAGATTGTCGTCTTCAGTTATTTTACTGTCAAAAATAGCTAATTTTTTTTCGAGCAAGTAAAGAAAACGTTTCTACTCTTCGACCTTTAAACTTTTCCAATTAGTTTTTGG